CTCGCCAGAGTGGTGAGTATAAACAGTATTTTGATTCCTTTCTTCAACTTTTCAGGAGAGTGAGGTTGAGAACACTGCCTTACCTTTGTGTCTGATTCTGTGGGTTGTCTTTTATTCTCCTTTTGTTTTTAAGATTATTTCTTTTCATTATTGGTTTGTAATTTTTTTTTTTTTTTGGAGACAGGATCCCACATAGCTGGACTCAAACTCATTTACCAAGGTTGAATTCCCGATCCTCCTTCTTTCACATCCCAAGTCCTGGGCTTATAGGCATGTGTTACTCTGCCAGGCTTACAGAGGCTTTTTGAACATCAAAGATTCTAGCTCTTGGCTGTCATATGTATGCCAATACTTTTCTCAATTCTTAGGTTACTTTTGTATACAGTATTTGTATCAAGGTGTAATGTAACAGTTTTACATTTTTATGTTTTCAGAATCTTTTTTTTTTTTTTCGGTCTTTTTGAGACAGGGTCTCCCTGTCGCCCCAGCTGTCCTGGAACTCACTATGTAGATCAGGGTAGTCTTGAACTCACAGAGATCTGCCTGCCTCGGCCTCCCGAGTGCTGGGATTAAAGGTGTGCGCCACCATGTCCGGCATCAGAATCATCTGTTTTAAGTTCTATATATCAAGGTGTTTTTTATTTCCTTTATGTGTATGAATGTATTGCCTACATGTGTGTAAGTGCACCTGTGTCATGCAATGCCCTCAAAGGTCAGAGGGTCAGATTCCCCTGGAACTGGAGTTACAGACAGTTGTTAGCCACCACATGGGTGCTGGGAACCAAACCCAGGTTGTCTTCAAGAGCAGCCAGTGCTCTTAACTGCTGAGCCATCTCTCCAACCCCATATGTATTCAGATTTTATCTCTTTATTTGCAGTGTCTGGGTTTCACATTAACTACAGAAATATTTACTTAGGCTATCACGGTGGTACATGCCTTTAATCCCAGCAGTTAAGAGACAAAGGCAGGAAGATCTCTATGACTTTCAGGCCAGCCTGGTCTATATAGTGAGTTCTAGGCCAGCCAGGGCTACGTAGTGAGGCCCTGTCTCAAAAAATGAAAAAAAAAAAAAAAGATTTACTTTTATCCAGTAAACATTGTGATCACAGTTTTGCAAGCTTCTTGAAAACTGATAAAAGCTGGACCTGGGGTTAAGGCAAAAGAATCACAGGTTCAAGGCCAGCCTAGGCTACACATGAAAAAAGCATAACAGCAAAAGAAAGCCAGTTATCTCTGTTTACTTAAGACTCCCCCTGATGATTTGAAATGCTAGCCTTAATCAACTGTTTCTGAAGTGCAATGTCTTTAATTTTTTTTTTCTTGTGAATGCTTACATATAAATGTAGTTTGGTTGTCAATACCCTTTCAAAAGTTTGGAGGCCTGCAAGATAGCTCAACAGGTAAAAGCACTTGCCACAAAGCCTGATGACCTGAGTTTGAACCTGCAGAACCTAAAACCCACACAAAGGTAGAATAAAACCTACTCCACAAAGTTGTCCTCTAACTTCCACATGCAGGAGAGGCACATGTGTGCCCACACTCATGGCACACACAGTTGCTTAGGATGAGGAACTTTTTTGATTTCCCTGGCCTACCAAGTGTGGGGGAGGGGTACATGAAAAGGTAGAAGTACCACCTGTTTCCAGGGGAACAAGGTGCCCTGAAGAGGAGCAGAACAGCACCTAGGTTCAGAGAGGCGTCAGGTGGCTTCATCCTCTTAACACATTTGGCAGAACAGGGGACAGTGAGTCATCTGGAAGCAGGGACAGGTGGTGGAGGCACTGGTATTCAAAGTGAGACACTGAGAGTCTGGAGGCCCCAGGAGATTCTAAGAGGTACACAGCATAGATGGCTGCAGGCTCCATGTCTAGGTCCTTGGTTCATGTGTTCTCATTTATAAACTGATCAGAAGAGCATACCACCCAAGTAGCCCCAGGTACACAGGCCCTCTCCTATACCTCCACTATATAGACTTTAAGAAACAAAAAAGGAGCCAGGCCTGGTAGTACAGACCTGAAATCACAGCTGTTCAGGAGACTCAGCAGCAGAATCACAAATTCGAGTGCCTGCCTGGTCTGCAAAATGACTTCAAGGCCAGTCTGGGCAACTTGGTGAGACCCCATCTCAAAAATTTAAAAGTAAATGAGGAGTGGAGATATATCTCAGTGGTAGAGCACTTGTCTAGCATATGTGAGCCCCCCTACGTTCAGCCCCCAATACCACAAGAAATAAACTGGCACCTCCTGCCATCTCAGTCTTACTGCAGAGCATTTCTGAGGTGTAAACCTTCTGGGTCACAGCCGAATGGTACAGAATATTAAAGGACACATCCACAAGTCTTCGCACTAGGGCCTGGATTGCATTTCCAGTGCAAGTTAGGTTGTTTGCAGTATTTTGCTTTCAACACAATTGAAAGAACCTAATTAAGTTGTCAGCTAATAGGCCATTAAGAACAATTTTTGATGATAGGTTAACCATGTGATTTTTGTAGCATGTAATTCAGTTTAAGTTCAGACAATCAGGTGACAGTTCCATAAGAGGGCTCCTTCCAGCCCATCTACATATTGATGTGATGAGATTGTTTCCCATGTTGGATAATCACTAAGGATAACTTGAACCAGAAAAAGCTGAAAATGTATAGCCTTGTGATTATTAGAGATGAAAGCAAAGACTGGGCATAAAATAAAAATAATAAAATTAGCAGGGTGTGGTGGCATGTGCCTTTAGTCCCAGCATTCGGGAGGCAGAGGCAGGCAGATCTCTGTGAGCTCAAGGCCAACATGGTCTACATATTGAGTTCCAGGCCAGCTGGGGCTTCAAAGGGACCCTTTCTCAAAACAATAATAAGACAAAATAATAAGAATAATAAGGTCTTTAAAAAAAAAAAAAAAAAACAAGGAGCCAAGGATGTACCTTTAGTTGGTAGAGTTTGCCTAACATGCATGAATCCCTGGGTTCAGTCCCCAACACAGAATAAACCTGTCGTGGTACACACCCATAATCCCAACACTTGGTAAGTGGAGGCAAGAGAATCAGAAGTTTCAGGTCATGCTGTGTAAGTGGAGAGCAGCTCTGTCTCAAAACAGACAACCAAAAGGCTAAGGATATAGCTTAGTGATAAAGGACTTGCCTAGCATGTAGGAGGCCCTGGGTTCTATCCACAGTACTAAATACAAAATTAAAATGTAAGTGAAAGAAAAAGGGGTTTTCTTCAATACAAGAATTAAAATGAGGGGAGGGGAACTGATACCGGGTATCTTGAAACCCTTCTTGGCTTTTCTCTATATCCAAGTACTGGGCTTACATGCCTGCACCACCACCCTGGGTTTTGGGGGTTTCGGCAGTGTTGGTAATGAACTCAGGGGCCTTGTGCTTATTAGGCAGGCATTCTACCAACTGAGTACATCACCAGCCCCAACCTTGAGCTCTTAAAAGTTAGGCATAGCCGGGCATGGTGGCGCACACCTTTAATCCCAGCACCCAGGAGGCAGAGGCAGGCAGAGCTCTGTGAGTTCAAAGAGCACCTGGTCTACATAAGGAGTGCCAGGCCAACTGGGGCTACAGGGAGACCCTGTCTCAAAAAGACAAAAAATAAATAAATGAAATAAAGTTAGACATATGTAATTTACAGGGTATTGAATCTGAAAGACCAAAAAGAAAAGGAAATCATCTTCAAACCTACCCTATCCAAGAAGTAGAATTAAAGTAGTAGTAACTTACCACTTTACATTTGGCTGAGGAAAATAAACACATGCAAAGTGTCTGTTGCTGGCAGAGATTCAGGGAAAGGGTTCTCTCCTGCAGGCTGGTGGAAAGATGAACTATCACAGCCTTGTTGAAAAGCAATCTGGTATCATCTACCAAAATTAAAAATATTTAACCTTTCGACTCTGGAGTCCCACTGCTGAGAATCTCCTAGAAGTAAATCACTATTTTGTAATTAGGAATACAAACAAATGTTTATTGTATTGCTTATTGCAGCAAAAGATTGGGAACAAAACGTGAGCATTTTTCCATTAAGGGAATGACTTGACGAATTACAGTGTGATCCTTATGGTGGGATGTATGCAGCATTTAAAAGAATGACTTAGCACTACAGAAAACTGGTTTGAAGCGATTTCTACAAGATATTTTATCCTAAAGTAGGAACCTAGAAGCAATTTTATAACACCAGTAGTGGCCAGAAAAATTTAAAAAGATACATGTATATGTGCTGTTGGAACCACGCAAGCATGGGGGAGGTCCCAGTTAATTACAGCAGTCACCTGAGTGGTCCTAACAGAACAGTGGGAAGTACAGGAAAGCAGAAAGCATTGCACTAAGAAACAAAGATATGTTCTGTTGAGTTTATATAAAATGATGCTGTATCTGTAAAGATCCATTTAATCTACAGACCTTTGTGCAAGTTTAAAAACCACAAATTTAGCCAGGCGTGATGGTGCATGCCTTTAGTCCCAGTACTGGGAGGGAGAGGCAGGCGGATCTCTGTGAATTCAAGGCCAGCCCAGTCTCCATAGTTCCAGGTCACCTGGGGCTACAAGGAGATCCTGTCTCAAAAAGACCAAAAAAAAATCCCACAAATTTTAAGGCCATGTATATAATAGGGTACTGTATAACCAAAAACAAACAAAACTCAAATGTTCCTCTCATGTGCATATGTGTGCTTGGAAAGAAACAAGTCTGGGTGGTCTGTCTCTCAGAAACTGACCAAAGAGTGAGGAGGAGGTAGCCCACCTTTTCATGTGCCTTGATGATGCATGAGCTTGAGAAGAGCTATGGATGTTGGCTGCCTTCCCTGGGATGGAGAAGTAAAATAAGGACCGCTAAACAATTGTAGGGCTGGCAGAGAATTTTTCATCATTTTAGTTTGACTCCATTTTGTATTAGCATTCAAGACTACTTTGTTTTTTAAAAAAGACCTTTTGGAATGTAAATTCTAGGACTGTAGAAGCCTGGATAAGTGGCATGACTGCTCTGTATTCTCCTCACCTCCCCTCAGCGCACGATGGCATTGTGATTAAGATCGAGGTACAGACCAATGACGAGGGCTCAGAAAGTCTGGAGACACCAGAGCCCCTGATGGGCCAAGTAGAAGAACATGGTTTTCAGGACTCAGAGCTGGGCGACCCCTGTGGAGAGCAGCCAGACCTGGACATGCAGGAACAGAACACGCTGGAGGAGTCCACTGAAGGGTCCAGTGAGTTCAGTGAGCTCAAGCAGATGCTGGTGCAGCAGAGAAACTGCACAGGTGAGTTCTGGGCAGGTAAGGGGCCTGCAGAAGACTACCTCCAGGGAAGCTGTGATCCTGCAGAGATACAAGTGGACCCTGGTGAACAGAGAGCTGCGAATACACAGGTCTCCTAAGTCAGAATTTATTAGATCTGTCTCCCAGCCTAAGGTCCTGCAGAGATACAAGTGGACCCTGGTGAACAGAGAGCTGCGAATACATGTAGGGACCCTGGTGAACAGAGAGCTGCAAATACACAGGTCTCCTAAGTCAGAATTTATTAGATCTGTCTCCCAGCCTAAGAAAGAAGGTGCTATGTCGAAGATTGCCTCAAGCAAGAGCTCAAGGCAGATAAGGTCAAATACATTGCCCAAGGTCACACAGACTGAGGCAGAGCTACAACTTTCTCCTGACAAATCCTGGATTAGTTGTCTTAGAGCACTATTTTGGTTTTGAGGTTTGAGTAGGGTCTCACTAAGTAGGCCAGACTAGCCTCTTCAGTGCGAGGGTTGAAAGTGTGTGCCACCATACCATGCAAGAAAAGCATGTTTTTAGGAAGTTCCTACCAGCTGCCATGAAGTTGGCCAGGACATTTTTCCCCTTCTGCACTCATCTCCTCCAGGCAGCTGCTGAGCCTTATTACAGCTTGCCCTGGGCTTTTTCTTCTAAACTCTAATAAAACTGTAATTGAGCTTAAAAAAAAAAGACTACTCTCCTCTGATAGTCTAGTCATTGTCCGTCTCTTTTAGTTACATAATGTATGCCTCTGCTCTATGTTGCTCCCTGGGATACAGCAACATGGCAAGTAGGCTCCTGGTGACCCTGGTGATCCTTCGTGACAGCTTTCGTGACTTCACAGCCCTTGAAGTCCTGAGGAAAGCCTTACTTGGTCAGTATGACAGGTTTTTGTTTTTTTTAAATGCTGTGTTGGACCTACCAAACATTTTATTCCACAGTTTACAACTGTGTTCATAAAAGGAAATTAACTTTTTTTTTTTTGAGACACGATTTCACTATGTAGCCCTGGCTAGCCTGAAACTCATAGATATCCAACTGCCTCTGCCTCCCAAGAGCTTGGATTAAAGGCTTGTGCCACCATACCACGCAATCCTAATTTTTAAATTTCATTTACTAGTGTGGGAGGGAGGTGGAAGTGTGATGAGTCTGTATCAAGTTTTGTTTTTTTTTCTTACCTATAGATGAGGTTGTAAACAGTTGGGGGAGGGGCACGTTTTCTGGTTGGTTGGGTTTGGTTTTGTTTCTGAGATTGAGAGTCTATATGTAACTTAGGCTGGCCTTGCCCTTGAGATCCTCTAGCCTAATTACTTCTAAATAACCTCACAGCGGCCAGGTGTGGTGGCTCACTACGTGTACCTATGTCATGTGCTTTAACACTGCAGTCCACAGGTCAGGGCATAGGCACTGCTAGCCTCAGTTTCCCTGTCAGTGGGGGGCAGATAAGACAGTCCCTGACATGCAAGCTCTGAACAGGCCTGTAACTTGTTTCTTTACTTAGAAACATCACTTGGTATTTCTGGGCTGGAGCACTCCAACTGTGAGATAGGGCAATACTTGTGTGACTTGATTCTTTTCCAAGTTACTTCACACAGCAAAAGAAAGGGCAGATGTGAAAATGTTGCAAAAACCATTTTGTAAGAATTCAAAAAGCACATTTTTGTGTCTTGTCTCAGAGAGGGACTTAGAGACATAAGTTTCTCTTGCTCAGTAATAAAATAGACCTCTCCAGTTAACACTGATTAGGGAACACCAAATAACTATAGTGCACCTGAAGTGTCAGAGGCCGCTTTAGGTTCTCTATAGAGAACTACATTGTGTAGAACCTAAGGAAACAAGCATGGCCTGGGAGCAAGAAGCAACCAGCATACACGCATGCAGGGCATGCCTCTGAAGCAGAAAGGAAGTGTCAAGGCTGGTGCTTTCTACTCCTTGTTCCTGGCTACACCATGGGACCTGCATGCAGTGCCTGAGCTGCAGGAGGCTGCCTAGAGAGGAAATTAGTTCAGGTTGTCACCTGTCAGGATCACCAAGGAAGACATGGAAAATGGAGGAGGAGGAAGTTGATGAAGGTGGGTGAATAAAAGACCTAGGAGAAATCCCCAGCTAGGTTCAGAAGGAAGAAGTCTGGCAGAGCAGAGGTCTGCTGAGTCTTTGAAAGGGAGGAGATGGAGAACTTTGAGTCGGCACCCACTGGCACAGCTGCAGACACACGGCCCTTAAGGGCTCCACAAAGAAAGTTTAGTGGCTCATGCCCTTGAGTTCAGGGCTATGACAAGTTCAGGTGTGGCATGATGGTTCTTGGGGCTGGTTTCTTTTCCTACTGGGTATGGGTCCTCCAGAAGCTTCCCTTCATGACCAACAGGAAGCCTTGTAGCCTCCCTGCTTCCTCAGAAAGAGAGGACTTGAACTCTCCAGTTAAAAGTTCCAACTCCAGTCACATGTGGGTGGGGATCAATGGGCCAGGAAGTTAGGAACTTTTCAGAGGAGGAAGAATTTGGACAATCTTAGAGACATACACACAAGCAGGGTCTGTTGGTGAGGATGAAGTGATGCTCTACCTATCCAGGATAAGGGTTCTAGACAGTAACATTTTTATTTCTGTCCTGGAGCAGAGGGGATCGTGATAAAAACTGAGGAGCAGGAGGAGGAAGAGGAGGAAGAGGAAGACGACGAGCTGCCACAGCATTTGCAGTCCCTCGGACAGCTGTCCGGGCGATATGAGGCCAGTATGTACCAGACCCCCCTACCGGGTGAGATGTCCCCTGAAGGCGAGGAAAGCCCCCCGCCCCTGCAGCTGGGCAACCCAGCAGTGAAGAGGCTGGCGCCCAGCACTCATGGCCATGGCCATGGGCATGGGCATGGCGAGCGGCACCTGGGCGAGAACCGCGGGACCTCAAGCCAGCAACAGCGGAACCGGCGTGGCGAGCGGCCCTTCACCTGCATGGAGTGCGGCAAGAGCTTCCGGCTGAAGATAAACCTCATCATCCACCAGCGCAACCACATCAAGGAGGGGCCCTACGAGTGCGCCGAGTGCGAGATCAGCTTCCGCCACAAGCAGCAGCTCACGCTGCACCAGCGCATCCATAGGGTGCGCGGCGGCTACGCCTCCCCCGAGCGCGGCTCAGCATTTAACCCCAAGCACTCGCTCAAGCCGCGTCCCAAGTCACCCAGCTCGGGCAGCGGTGGCGGCCCTAAGCCTTACAAGTGCCCCGAGTGTGACAGCAGCTTCAGCCACAAGTCAAGCCTGACCAAGCACCAGATAACACACACGGGCGAGAGGCCCTACACGTGCCCTGAGTGCAAGAAGAGCTTCCGCTTGCACATCAGCCTGGTGATCCACCAGCGTGTGCACGCGGGCAAGCACGAGGTGTCCTTCATCTGCAGCCTGTGCGGCAAGAGCTTCAGCCGCCCGTCGCACCTGCTTCGCCACCAGCGGACTCACACCGGCGAGCGGCCCTTCAAGTGCCCGGAGTGCGAGAAGAGCTTCAGCGAGAAGTCCAAACTCACCAACCACTGCCGCGTGCACTCGCGCGAGCGGCCACACGCCTGCCCCGAGTGCGGCAAGAGCTTCATCCGCAAGCACCACCTGCTGGAGCACCGGCGCATCCACACGGGCGAGCGGCCCTACCACTGCGCCGAGTGCGGCAAGCGCTTCACGCAGAAGCACCACCTGCTGGAGCACCAGCGCGCGCACACCGGCGAGCGGCCCTACCCCTGCACGCACTGCGCCAAGTGCTTCCGCTACAAGCAGTCGCTCAAGTACCACCTGCGGACCCACACGGGCGAGTGAGCGCGCCCTGCCCCCGCCCGGCCGAATGCCAGGCCAGGTGGGAGGTCCGGAGACCCCCACGGACTGGTGTCTCGGCTGCCACCGAGTCCAGCTGGCGGGGGCGGGGCGCCCCAAGCCCTTCTGCTGTGAACCCTCCTCCCCTTCCGTTCCTCCTCCCCAGGACTTGGGGTAGAGAGACCAGGTTGCTTGTTGCCTGCTTCCCCTGGGCCCCAGGGGGGAGAGCTTGGGCCTGGGGAACCCTTTCAGGCTGTTAATTTCCTTGACAATAAAATGGATGAAACCAATCTGCATGGGGGCAGTGATTTGGCTGCCGGCCACTCGCAGGCGCTGAGCAGGGCCGTTTAGTTGGGGCTAGAACTTTATAATTACCTTTTGGATACTGTGGTTCTATTTGATAATAATAGAGTAATTTTGAAAAGACGAGCGTTTCCTGTTTGCTGTTCTTGTTTGGTTTTGAAGGGGAGGGGCTGAAGAGGCCCAAAGGGACGTGTGCCTTGTATCAGTTGGCAGACACCTGAGTCCCTTTCACAAATTCATTCTTCATGATGGGTGGAGAAAGAGAAGCGGGTACCACTGACTATAAAATCGGAAGGCGGGACAGTGCTGACCAACTTGAAGAAGTCCAGGGAAGGATAGAAGCTCCTAGCTGCCGACTTCCTGCACCCTGGTGTCCACCTGGGCAGTGGCAGCCCGGGCAGGAATAGGTCCCAGTTGACTAGGATGATCAGAGAAAAAGTGGTGGTCAGGTTGATAATGGCCCTATAGTAAAAGGACCCAACTTCTTACCGGGTTTGGAATGCCACTGGCAGCAGGGTGGCATAGTTGAGAGTGAAGAAGCCCGTGGTGTGGTCTTTGGGGCAGCCACAAACGCCACCACCAGGACATTGAACGTTGCATAGAAAGTACTTTCTGGGTGTGTTGGATTCACCTCTAGGGATCCATGCATTTCCTGTCACCCTTCAGCTCTCTCCTCCAAAAGAAACTGAACACATTGCTCAGGAGCCACTTCCTTTCACTCTGATGCGGGGCTTGGAGGTAACCAGAGAGGATTCTTGTCATTTAAAAGGAGGGTTGACTATCCTGCAAAGCCAGGCCTACTGGAGGCTGGGCTTCCATGGAAGGCAGAGACTGGCCTGAGGGCCTGCGGAAGCTAGGAATGTCAAGTTGTGACAGGGTACCTAAAGGTTCAGAAGGCATTTGGAGAGAAAAGATCCATTATGGACCTCAAGGCTACCATAAGACATTACAGTTATATGTCAGTCTATAAAAGATGCATAAGCTGAGGCATTTGTATTTTGGTATATGACTTCTATTTACAATGGAAGGCTGTGAGAGCAAGGAGGTAATAGCCAGGTGGAAAGCTGAAACAGATACAGAACTGGGTGCTGCATTAGTGTGCAATTAAATGCTAGTGCTAAGGAGAACATAGATGCACTGCAGACCACAGGGGGGTCCCAGCAGGAGTCTGGGAGCAAGGGTTTCCAGCAGGTGGTAGAGTTGACCTGGGTCTGTTGTATGGGGAGGATTTCTGTAGGAAATAATAAGAAAGGACTCAAATGGGATGTAAAGAACAAAAGTGTGGCAGGAAGACTCCCAGGATGAAACTCACAAGCTCAGGAAGGCCTGGGCAGGACAAACAGGGTCTGGGTGCTGGCTTGGAATAGACTGTGGATATGGAGTGTGTCTTAGATCTCCAACTGAAAGGAGTTTTGCTGTGGAGTTTCATCTGCATCTGGTGTAAGAAATCTTTGAACACTGGACTAGGAGAGGGACATGATGCCAGTGGAGGCAGAACAGACGGAAGGGGACAAGGAAGCATGTGAAACAGCAGGAAAACCAGATGAGTTCCATGAAGGCATCACACAAAGCGGTGGGTGAGAGCTGAAGGGATGGCAGAAGAGATGGTTCATTTGAGCAGCAGAGTATTGGAAGCTCCAAAGAGATACTGAGGTCTCTTAGAGGTATTTGACGGTCACCTAAAGTCTTTACTAGTCTAAACCCAGGAGTGCCACAGGTACTCAGACTAGCAGGCCGTGTGGTTTGTGATAGAATCCAAGCTAGAGAGTTAAATTCATTTGCAACGTGAAGTTAACTGAGACACAGAGCAAGTAAATGGGATTGAGACTGAAGAGCCTCTCTTTTTCCAGGGAAACCTAATCTTTAAAGAAATTAAACCAAATATAGTCAGAGACGTACTTACGTTGAGCTGGGCTGTAAGGGATCTCCCCTTCCTTGACCCTAAACTCCTCTATGCCTCTTCCTTCAGCTTACATCTTGGCCTCTGGCTTGTTCTTCCCTTGTCCCCAACTTATCACGCTTCTCACTCTGCATGTGCTGTAATGTCTGCTAGTGATCAGAGGCCAAAATCAATAGAGGATGGTCACTAAAGTGTACACAGCCTTCTGAGTCAGATAGTTAATACTTCCATGGCTTTGACCTTGGACAAGTTAAGAGCAATCTCATCTGTTGAGATAAAGTTTCATTGTTTTTGATATGTAAAGTAGGCGACCTTAACAGTTTTGAAGCTTAAATAACAAAGAATAAATACTAGCAAAGACATTGGTCCATACTAATAACTCAGACAAGTTTACTAATTTCATTAACTTACAACAAAAACAGAAGTTCACTGAACTAGTGTTATATTGCACACACACAAAAAAGCTATAAGAAGGGAATTTCTTTTGGAGGGTAAGCAAGGTTTTATTGAGTAACAGCTACCCCTAGCAGGGAGGGGTCCCCAAAATGGCTTGCCTGAGAAGGGAATTGTTTGAGCAGAAAATGATTATGGTAGGAAGAAGTTTAAATGCAGCCCAGCAGCTACATTGTTGTCAGTGGACAGTTGAAACTGCCTTTCAGCCTCATTGCAGAGTTTGTACAGGTCCAAGCCCACCTGTCTGGGTTTTCTGGTGACTTCTTTGGATGCCCTTAAGATTTATTTTTTTAATTTGTGTGTGTGTGTGTGTGTATGTATACCTGTGAATGTGGGTAACTGCAGAGGCCAGAAGAGAGTGTTGGATCCCCTGGAGCTAGAATTATAGGCAGTTGTGAGCCTCCCCAAGTGGGTGCTGGGAACCAAACTTGGATCCTCTGGAAGAGCGGGAAGTACTCTCCAACCACTGGGCCATTTCTCTGGCCCCAGATGCTCTAATTTATTTTTTATAGTATTTTATTTATTTATTTATTATTTTTATTTATTTATTTAGGTCTTTTTGTGACAGGGTCTCCCTGTAGCCTCACCTGTCCTGGAACTCACTACGTGGACCAGGATGGCCTTGAACTCACAGGGATCCACCTGCCTCTGCCTCCCGAGTGCTGGGATTAACGGCATGCACCACCATGCCCGGCCTGGAGTATTTTATTTATTTTTATTTTATGTGTATGAGTGTATTGCCTGCATGCATGTAAGTGTACCCATGTTGTGCAATGCCTGTGGAGGATAAGTGGGCTTTGGATCCCCTAGAACTGGAGTTATGAAGGGTTGTTAGCTGCCATGTGGGTGCTGGGAATTAAAACCAGGTCCTCTTCAAGACCAGCCAGTGCTCTTAAACACTGAGCTATCTTTCCAGCCCCATACACTCTTAATTAAAAACACAGACTTTGAAATTTTTCAGTTGCCAGATTGTGTACCAAATAGAATAACTGTCATATCCTGGGTGCATCTTATTTTTGAAGACCTGATACATATATATTACTACAAACTCAGGTATGTATTATTACACCCACTTTCTAGAAGAGTTTGAAGCTCACAGGCTCAGTAAGTCCAAAGTCACACTGCAACAGATAATAGAGCCAGGATTTTGTTTGGTTTGGGGTTTGGGGTATTTTGAGACAGGATCTCACTCTAGCCCAGGCTGGCCTCAGACTCATGGCAATTCTCCTGCCTCAGCCTCCCAAGTGCTGGGTTACAGGTATCCACAGTCCAGATTTGAACTCAAATCTTTGGCTCCAAAACTCATGTGCTTGATCATAAAGTTATTTCTCTGGGATTTGGTGGTTGTTGAAAAGAGAAAAGCCAGTACGTCTGTTAAATCATCCTCTTTTCCCCTCAGATGTTTAAAAAAAATTTTAAATGAAATATGAGGAGAAAATGTGCTCTGTGTTTTCAATGTGATGACCGTCCTAAGAATGAAAAAGAACGTTAGAGGTGGAGCAAACTCCAAAGTCAAGACAGCATTTCATAGCGGGAGATAAACTGGGTCGTTTGTGTGGGTCATATGACTCACCTGTGTGGGGACAAAAGGCAACACAGAGCAGGGTGCAGGTCTGCCACCTTCAGGAGTGCTCTGGGTAGTACAGTCTCCCAGAATTCATTATGTGCCAAGCATTGTGCTGGGCTTCATGGGAAAAGATTAGAAACCACCCCTGCCTTGACAGTCCTCGGAATGTGGTGGCAACTTTGGGCATCATTCCCTAAACGGAGCCTCTGGGGTTTAGAAAAGCTTAGGCCATCAAGGACAACTTTTTATGAAGGGTACTGCTGGCCAAAACGGCCACATGTTCCATTTTCCTATTCTGTCTTTGGTTAGAGCAGCTTGAAACAGCCAGGTGCCTGGGGGAGACCTTTCCTGAAGCCCTGTGTGGCAGCTCTTCAGATTAAGGGATCAGGGACTCGGGCCCTCCAGGCCCTCCTGTTGCCAGGGCAACCATGAGTCAGGCTGAGGCCTGTGCTCTAGCCTTCTGGGAAGTCATTTGGCTACAGAAGCTTCTTCGCAGTCATAGTGGGACCTTCTAGATTAAAATTTGGTCAAAATCAATTTTACCTTGATCACTTCTAGTTGGGGTCCTTGAAATTTTTAGTCAAGATGTCATCTATTTAACCTTTTTCTATTTTTTGACAAAGAATACCTCCAGATTCAAATTTTTTAAAGGAGAAAAAGAAAGGAAGGAGAGAAAGGAAGAGAGAGAAAAAAATTAACCTAATACTTCAGATAGAGAGGCCTTACATAAAAACTTCTGGTCTGGACACGGGGTGGGTGGTGGTACTCACATTTAATCCCAGCACTTGAGAAGCAGAGGATCTCTGTGAGTTGCAGGCCAGCCTGGTCTACATATTGAGTTCCAAACCAGCCCCACTACAGGGAGACCCTGTCTCAAAAAACAGGCCAAAAAATAAATAAAAATAATAAAAAAGATGAAGTTAGGCCGTCAGCCCAAAGTCACGTGGCCAGAATTTAAAGGTAAGTGTGGCACCAGAGTATTTGCTGTTGCCTGCTGTTACATACTGCCTCCCAGTTTCAAATTGGACCCATAACAAAAGGAGACAAAACAGCACTATTTTTCTCTGAGCTTCAGCTCTGACTGTCCCATGGACAAACCGTGTAATGTAAGTCTGGACCTGACTGAAAGCAGATGTCCTCCAGCCCTGCCACACAGCATTGGGATATACAGCACTCACCAAGTCTCATTCTCCACTGAGCACTT